TCTTAAATGCCTTAATCAGTGGTTCAAAATAAGAGATTTATAGACGGTTATCAGGGCTGATTCCTTGTTAACACAGTTGTTTCAGGACTAACTTAGCTATTAAGTAAATGGGGATCTAGTTTTTATGATAGCTTCTCTTTAATTCTCTAGAGATAAGTCTTTATCAGATTAAAGTCTACAAGTCTAAATTGCAACATGTCAGTAATGTTGCCTTTGGATTTGTTTTTGTATGAGTGTCTGAAGTCGTACCTAAGAATCATTGAGACCATACTTTACTCTGTCTTCTAACCTTACTGGAATAATGTTAGTTCAAAACTTGTAGATAGTAAATTAAAAGAGTGTTAAGTGTCCAGATCATTTGTTTTATTCACCTGAAAGTATAAAAGTCAATATAGAATTCTGTTGTTGCAGTCTGCAATTTTACACAAGTAATATTTTATTGACATGGGGCAAAGTAAAGCAAGTGAAATTAAAAGTTGTTTATTTGTCTATGTAGTTCCTTATGTTTTGATGAATGCTGATAAAACCTGTTGCACAAAGGCTTATCTTGGGAGAAATGTTCCTTGATTTGCAGGTTTATTTAAATATTGATGATCATGTTCTTTGATAACGAAAGATGGTCAGTTGAAACTGCAAAAGATCAACCAGTTGTATTGTATTATTGTATTATCTCGTCAAATTATGTTATGCCAGTCAACAGGGATCAGTTCTAAAATATCAGAGACAGTGATTTGGTATCATTTATTATTAAAAAAAATGTTTTTGCTATACCTAGTTTGTTGTTTTATATAACATGGTTTATAGGTATGTTTCAACATGCCAGTTAACTTGCTTACATGGGTATGCGTAACAGTTGCACATAGTAGAGAAATAAATAAAAAGATAAATAGAGTAGACTAGCATGATATAATCACAAATTTCTGTTGATAAAACTTTCCCTCCTCTTATTTAAAAGCTGGGTGTCCTGGCCTCTCTCTTGCAAACTGTAGTGATAAATGGTGATGGTTAGAAATGCTGTGCAAGACATTAACTCTGCATTTATTAAGTGGATCATAATGTACTGGTTTGAGGCTAAGGGGGATTCCCATTTTTTTTTTTTTTTTTTTTTTTTTTTTTTTTTTTTGATTTTTGTTTTAGTTGGAAGCACAGATAGTAAAGCCAAGTATAGGCTTTGCAAGATATATAATTCATCAGATTATTTTATTTATAGATGTGTCAGATTTTGTGCAATGATATGTGTCGTTTCATACAGGGAATCTTTGGATTTGATTTGATTTAAGCAACTTGATTCAAATCAAATGTGTTTGGCTACTGTATGCAGGATTTTTTATTTTGTTGGTCTTAGAAGTTTTCTGTAGGTGCTTTGATGTCTTTTAATGTCTTTAGACTTATTATATTTATTGATCATCTTTGGAGATTGTAATATCATTTTGTTTCATATCTTATTTCATTTTTACTTTTTTTCTTTGGTTGTTTATTTAATACATAGTACTTTTTTTCATTTTGGGTTACTATGTTTCCTATTCTGTCTTTAGTTGTTACAGTGGTGTCATGAGACCTCTAGTCATATTACAGTATATCTGTTTCCTTCTTGGCATCATATTCATTTTTAGGGGTAGTTGTAGGATTGTGAGTTTAAATGAACAAGAGCTTGATGTGATTTTTTAGGGTTGATGAAAATTACATTTTGCATGGTTTGAAGGAGCTATTCTTTATCAAGATGCAAGGTAGTCTTTATCAAATCCAGATGTAGGCATTTGTGTGGAATTAATTGAAACTTTATAAGGAAAGTGTAATGCAAAAGTATACTTACTAATAGGACATGGATGGGTGATTTTACTTTTGTAATTTTTTACATATTAAAAAATATAAAATGCAGGATATTAGATTATTGATAGCTGTCTCTCTCATTATGATATAGAGGTTTATAAATGATAGTCACATTTTAAACTTCCATTGGCAGTATCATTTGAGTGCTGGAAGAGATACACCTCAGGATATTTGTTAAACAAGCTTCTTTAGAAATGTTAAACAAGCACTTAGGAAAGAGATTTCTATTATTCATATACTTGTTTTTATCCAAATGCAAAGTTTTTTCTTAACAGTGAAAGTGTAATAGTAAGGTGGCAAGGTATAAAATTTGATTATTCATATTTTTTTGTCATGTCTTTTTAACAACATATGTTTATAAAGTACACACCAAAGGAGCTACAAAAGAGCTAACAAACAACAAAAAACTTGCTGGTGTCACATAGGACATAAATTTGAAACAGAACTAGGAGTGTTACCTTTTGCCAGAAGCCCCCGCTGTCACCAACCCCATTTGACATTAGTGATGATGAACTGGTCTGCGCTAGTGTCAGGGACCTCAATCGGCAGCTAAAGCTCCGAGGGCTCTGCAGAGAGGATATAATGAAGGTGAAACAACGAAGAAGAACATTAAAAAATAGAGGCTATGCAGCAAGGTAAGTATTTGGATATGACTCAGAAAATGGTATAAAAAAGAAACATGGTGCATGTTGTTTGTTACATGAAAAAAGGAAAATTAGTATATTTGAATGATAAGATTGTTTTACATTTGTATGTTTGTGAATAGCTATATAGATTGTTCTTTTCAAGATTGATGAAAAAGGATTCTTTATTGATTTTGATTGAAAAATGGAATTGGAATTTGAAATACTTCCCACTTCTGCTGAAGAAAACCGAAGGTAAACTCAAATGAATTAGAAAGCTTTTAGTTTTTAAGATAAGGTGTAGAATTATTCTTGGCCCAGATTTATGATTAGACAAAAAATAGGAAGGGGAAGAAAATGACTCCATATCACTTTAATAATCTGAGGTTGATGTAATGTTTAGGAAACTGGAAATATTATATAGACCAAGGAAACAGCATGAAAAGCATTGACAGTAAATGCAGGACCTGACTAAAAGGACAGCACTAAGCAATAGATTAAGGAGTTTGAACAAGATAAGTTAAATGGGTAATTTCAGGCATTAAACACAAACAAGATTTGCAGGGTTAAATTAGATAATACATGATAAGATCATATGTAATGTTTGAAGACATGGTCACATTGAAATTGGAGACTAGATGACTGTTAACACTGGACAAACAAGAAAAATATTTAGAAACTGTCACATTAAACACTAAGACTGTAAAGTTATGTAAAACATTTAGCAGACAATGATGCAGTAGCTTTTGCATATAGAGTTGGGTGTTAGATAACAAAGTCTGGATTGAATTGACAAAGTGACATCGTAGAACAACCCAAATTAAACAGACTGGACATCTTTGATACAGATTAAAGGGCTATTTTTCAATAGATTATACAGGTAGCATTATTGTTTAGACAATGTAAGCATATGAACATTTATCCTTTCAGTGGTGACTGTACCAGGGTTTGTGACCATTGAGAGAGCCTAACTACATATTACAAAGATAACATTTAGATTCAAGCAGCTTCAGGTAGTGGACCATTATGAAGATATATTAATACTAAAGCACTTAGACTGGATGACACTTTAAGTATCATTAATCCCAGCACCAAAGACTTAGGGTGACTCGTACATTTAATTCCCTAGATATATAAGTTCATCATAAGTATAGTACTGGTACTGTTTTTTCTCAAAAATGTATAACCTCATCGTCTTTAATGTTTCAAACACACTTCCAGCTGTCGAATCAAGAGAATAGAGCAGATTGATGAATTGGAGTCGGAACGGACGACAGAACAAGTTGACATTGAGAAACTTATTAATGAAAACCACAATATGCGAACTGAAATTGATCGGTTGTTCCAGAATTATGAAGCCCTTAAAAAGTTTGCAGACCAGAAGAATATACCCCTCCCTCCAGATTTGGAAACCCTATGATCTTCAGGGAAATGCAAGTGTTTTCATAGTCATTCTTTGTGCATTATTGATGTAATGCAGAAGTCCATGTTGCCTTTACTAATGAAGTTCAAATTCAGGATTAATATAAGTCATGGTTAATGCCATGTTAAGACAGTAGTACTCTTGAGTAAAACTGGTCTAACTTTAAAGACATGAAATCTAATATATAAGAATTCTGTAAGATGTGTTAAATACTTAGACTATTTTTCTTGCTGTAGAAAATATTGGATATACTTACTATTTGTACATGTCCATGCAAATACTTCTACTGTACCTTAACTCGATCTGCTAGTGCATATTTTGTAGAAAACCCATTAAGTGTGGCTTTTCAGTTGACATCATCATGGTCTCATACTTGTGATAGGCTCTTGTGTGATAGTTTTTTTTTTTTTTTTTTTTTTTTTTTGTAGTATTAAGGCATCTCCCAAATATCATCCCATTTTTCATGTTTGTGCATTTTTTTTTTTTTTTAGGCTATCCATTATTTTTGTTAGCACTGATGTACTAAATTCCTAAATTATTCATATATTATACTCATTATATTATGTAAGGATTCCCATGCACTGAAAGACTAAACAACCTACTTCATGTTAGTCTAGCCATTACGTTTGCCAAGGACTTGCAAATGGACAGAATTATTTTAGAGTTGCATGTGTCCTTGTCATATGGTTTGCACTTGGGTTAAGATGATCTTGGTGTTAAGACACAGCAAAATGTGTATTAGTAGTGTTTGTATATTGTTCACTCCCTCTATAAAAAGCCCCAGTGCATAGTTGCATTTTATATATTAAGTCTTGCACCTGTGATAAGTCTCAGCCCAAATATTCTCCAGACTTGTAGTGTTTTCAGTTGATTTTTGTGTGTTGCCTTTTTTCCTTTTTTTGTGCACTAATCCTAATCTTTAGGGTAAATCTCATCATAGGATACTTAATGTGTTTATTCTTGTATTATCTTGTATTACTCAGATGAAACTTGTTTAGATAAAAAAAATTTTTTTTTTAGTATCTTGAGAAATGGCTTTCCTGTAGTTTAACCAATACAGTAGGTATTTAAAGACACCAGTGACCATAAGATGATGATAAGGATAATAAAAGCCAGTGATACTA